TATATATATATATATATATATATATATTTTCAAATATGCTGCCTTGCTATTTTCATCTTACCTCCACATATATGCGATACTGTTCATATATATGTATATATTTTTGCTTTGATGATGATGACTTAATTAATAATGTAGCCGACTAGTTGACCAAAGCAAAAACCTTTAATTAACTTGATTGGTTGGAATCGTATGTGATTTATTAGCCAGCATGGCATTGACTCTTGACTGGCAGACTGGCGTAATTGATGAACTGTTGTGTTGTTAATTGATCTCGGAGTGCGACTGAAACTTGATTTTATAAGCTAATTAAATAATTGAGAGGTTCTCGCAGGATTTTGTTTTTATTTTATTTTTTGGTCAAAAGTACCGACTTGTTTAGCCGCATATTGCTCTGCATATCGCAAAATTTATAGATATACCTAGAAGCATATAAACCATTTTGTCATATCTAAACCACAAAAAAAAAAAACCGTAAATAATAAAAAACAAGAGTGAAATTTTAAATAAATTTGCGCAATACAAACATTTATCAGCCCGAATGGATATGTTTCCAGTTAGGAGCAGCATCCGGCACTAATTCTGCTGGTATTCCCCTAACGCTACCCAGTTTTGCGAACTTTCTACTTCAGCTTGCCAACTGACAACTCTGGTATGGGAATGGAAACGTGCCTTTAGCTACACAAGAGTAAAGAAGAGTGGCAATGTGAACAGAAGATCAAGTTGACTGATTGCATATAGCAATCTGATACCTCATATACTGAAATTTTTACTAAGTACTTTCCAGTTCTCAAGACGTGGCACGTTGATAAAATTGATTCATTTATTTATAAAGATTAGATTGCCCAAGTATATAGAGTAATGTGTCCGTTGAGCCAGTAAAGACGATCTGTGTTTTAATATTAATATGAATCACGTTGCATAAATGCTTCTATTTGAACAACACAAGCATATATATGCCTTTCCTAGCTTCCACTTGTAAAGGCACATAGAATACATTTTGTGTGTTTGTATATATTTATTTTATTCGGCACACTTTATTTAAATTTAAATTTTGATTTTTATTATTTCATTTGTACTTTTTTAAGTAAATAATTTCTTCCGTCTCCCTGCAAAAAGAAAATATTGTAAAAAGACGTAAAAAAGAAAACTGAAGAGAAATGTAGATGAATGAAAATTTGTGCCATTATTTAAATGCGTTGTAATAACCTAAATGTTGACATATTGTCAGGCTGCCATGCCACCGCAGCAAACGGCAACTTTCACTTGAGCTTAAGTTTTGCTGTTTTTTGTTTTTTGCTCTTAAATTTGTTCAGTTGTTGTTTTTTGTTAAGGTGTCGCCGTGGCAATTTAATGAATTTTAATTTTAATGAAAACTTATGTGCGCATAACAGCTGTTGCCAAGTGTGGACGCGTTTCTCTTTGCAATTGTCGCTTAATGTCAATTTAAAATTTTGAAGCTATTGTACGAATTCATTTGTAGGACTAAAAGGTAGTGAAAGTAATTTACGTAATTTCGTTAAATGCTTTGTTTTTATTATGTGTTTGAAGTTTCTGACATTTAGTAGGAGATGTTTGTATTAGCGTTGATCCAGGAGAGGAAAGCGGTCACACGGGTGAAGGCAGCTGGGTAGCCCAGCTGGCAGCCAGCAGCAGCACCAAAGGAGGTCACACCAACCAGGACCTTGCTAGCCTCGAGCACCAATGGGCCGCCAGAGTCACCGCTGCAGGTGGACTTGCCGCCAGTTGTGGCGATACAGATGTTGGATGAGGTGACAATGTTGGTGCCGTAGGTGGCGGCGCACTTAGCGTTGGAAATAACGGTGGCTGCTACATACTGTAGGTTGGTGGCAACAGAGTTGGAAGAGTCGCTGGTTAGGCCCCAGCCAGAAGCGATAACAGTGGAACCCTCATAGGTGGAGTACGAGCTGGCAATGGCGGGTAGCTTGACGACTTGAATTCTGCTGGAGAAGGCAACAGCGGGGATCTTGATCAGGGAGATATCGTTCTTCAGAGTATTGGTGTTCCAGCCGGAGTGAATGATGACGTTGGACTTGGAAACGGTCTGGCTAACCTCGGGTGAGGTGCGGACAGTAGCGCCCAGATAGACGGTCACAGACTGAATGCTAAAAACGGAATCAAAAATGAGCAACTGCATCCAATATTTGACTTTTATGAATATTTACCCTTCGGTACAGTGAGCAGCGGTCAGTACCCAGGTGTTACCAATCAGAGAGCCACCACACCAGGAGGAGGAAATAGGAGAAATTTTGAGGGATAGACCCACCTGGTATGGGAATTGGCCAACGCTAGCCTGCTGGCCATTGGTTATACGGCCTTCAATGTTGTCTAGAACTGGCATCACACGGTGGCGATGGACCAGCTCGCTTTCGGGGAAAGCAGACGCGGCCACAGCCAAAGCAAGAATGATCAGAAACTTCATGTTGTTTAGTTAGTTAAAATACAACTGCCATTTATCCGCCAATCGTCGCTTTTTTATAGTAGCCCATCGAATATTGTTGCTCCAGGTGTTTAGATAAGATATGTGCTCAGTACGGCACACGTCACGTCTGCTCGTAGCCGATTCCAAGTCGAAGTAGTCTAGTCTTATCAAAACGCAGGCATAACAAAGGAAGATTTCAGCCGATTTGGCACCAACTAAAATTTTTTAATCAATTATCTTGTAGAAACCGTTCAGATTTGTTGTAAACCAAATAAACCGAGTAACATTCGTTTATTAACTTACACATGGTCAGCCCTTTGAGAGTGCTCACTGTAGATTGCAATGATGAGCATTAAATGGTCTTAGATCAGATTCCCATCTATCTTATCGTTAGACCGTATCAGCTTCAATTCTAAGCTGACTGTTCCGTCGGCTGTGTAAAGTTAAGCTCTTAAGATCGATCATAAATTTTTCAAAAGATCTGTGATTTTAAAAGTCTTTATGAATGTTTCGTTCTTTAAGTGCCGATGATTTTTTAAGGCAATTGAAATATTGGTTTCTTTAATTTAATTTCTATCGTGTACTGACTAAGTGGTATTTAATTTCCAAAAAGTTATTATATCATTGAAGTCGAAGTTAGCTTACGACGTTTGGACACTCTTATTATCATATCGGGTAATGAACGTAAATTTATATTAGGGAAAACCATCTTGATGTGATCTTAATTTAAGATAAGATACTTCTGACGTCTGGCAGCGAAAGGAGTTTCATTATAATGCCGCTATGCTGTGTCATTTAGTTCATTCGCACGACGCATTAATTGGTATCAAAGTACTCAGAGTCAATAATTGGCATTATTTCAAAATAAAAAAATATATTTATACCCATACAGAAACTTTAAGCTGACCGCAAGAGTTTTTTTTGGTTATTTTCACTTATCAACACTCGAGTCGTGATTGCGCAATCTGCGGTTGGCCGTTTCTCTAGGGAAAGGTTGCAATTGAAGAGGCTTTGAGCCCACAAAGAGAAAAGTGAATGGAATGGAAATTCAAAGCTTCTAATTAAAAGAGAGCACGTATCGTCTAAAAATATAAATACATTTATAAGTGATTAGCTAGAAGGTACCCTGCAAGTCGCAAATTAATAAAAAAGTATTAGCTTCAAAGAGTCATGCCAAAAAAAAAAAGAAAGTTGTCTGAGTATAGTTAAATCATCAGTAACCCATATCCTTCACAGATAGAATAATAAATTCATTATACTTTTATAAATATAATAATGCGATAATTAACAATTTAACATCATTTTATCAGAGTCATTGGAACTGAGTGTTTGTGCCTTGTATTGTAATTGTATGTTTCTCCGGTTTTATGGACATATTGTGAAGTATTTGGCTGCCATTTGATTGTTGTAATGCTTATTTTTACTTATAGCTTGCAATTTCCATTTGGCAAAAAATGGCCGTTTGATGCTACCCGAAGGCAACTCGGTCTGTCAAAGAGTAATTGTCGTCCTCGCATTCGATAGTCGGGACTCGATATCGTTGCTAACGTTTCGAACTAATTGGTTATATTGTTGGGACATTCCAGAACTTTGGTTATATTGTTAAGCAATTAATAGCTAACAATTGGGCGTTAATTGCATTTAGTTGACTGTTGTCTGGTAAACTCGAGGTCTCCTCCTACTCAATGCTTTGCAGGTCCGTCTCGCCCAGAATCCATTCCAAATAGGCTGTGATGCGCGTGTAGACAGTTGGCGAGCCCTGCTCACAGCCATTGGTGCTGCCGAATGAGGTTACTCCAATCAAATAGCTGACATTGTGCCAACGATAGACCAGTGGACCACCGGAATCGCCCTGGCAGCTGCCACGACCCTCTCGCCCATCGCTGCAAATGTGACGCTGCGGGCTAACCAAGCCAGGCAAAAAGTAGCAAATGCACCTCTCTTGCTCTAGCACGGGAACATCCACATAGTGTAGGAGATTGGCTTCTGGGGATTGAGTGTCATTTGTGCCATCTCCCAGAGCACCCCATCCGGAGCTGCTGACCAGTTGTCCCTGCAGCAACGATTGCTGCATAAAATCGAGCGCCAGAGGAATGGGTTGCACCCTTGTGCTGGGCGTGGCCGAGTGGGGCAGATGTATTAGGGCCAAATCATGATAGCCCGCAAAGCCTAGATAGCCCGGAAATACATTAAAATTCCATATATGCACCTGAAAAATTTGGGTTGCTGTTGCAGCGTCTGCATAGCTATTGCTGCCTAGATAAATCTGACCACTTTCGGCCTCATTCAGGCAATGCGCTGCAGTCAGAACATAGTTTAGACTAATAAGGGATCCACCACATTGCGTGGAATATCCTTGACGTCGATGCAACAGCAATGCGGCTTGATAGGGAAACATTCCCGGCTCGGCCAGTTCGCCCCGAGCTATGCGAGTGCTTACTTCTAGCTGTTGGTCTGGCAGCTGGTATTTCTTGCATTTGCGCTGCCAGCTCTCATAGGCCAGCTGCCAGCGCGCAGAGAGGACTTCCTCCGGATCATCATCATGGTGGCCGGTTGAGATCCACGCCTGCGTAGGCCTGAAGCCAAGCAAACAGAGAAGCAATGTGAGCGTGTGAAGCATTACAGTTGACTATGACGTGCCACTTGACAAGTTTCTTGTTTATATACATATACATACACAAGCGGGCCGGCACGTGTCTGGGCCCCTTTGTTTAATTGAATTGGGCGGTATATTTCGATGCGAATTGCACACAGAAACCAGCAGCTGTTTGGCATTCAATTTTAGCCAGTTTCGTGTAATTGCCACACGTTTCAGCGATTATGTTGCTTAGGCCTTCGTCTTTAACTATAGCCGGAGACGAATGAGAACCTAAGTGCGGCAAAGAGTATATAGCAAAACAATACCCTATAGGCAGCAGTTCGTTTCAAATGATAATTTCCATATACATAAATGTATGTAAATATCGCCTCTTAAATTTTTTGATATGAAATTAAAAAGTATTGGTTTGGCTAAAGTGGACAGTCACACACATATTCTAAATACCCATCTTCGCAAATTACAGGGTATAACTACCAATGCGCTGCTCCCCGCTGTAGCTCGGCCGCAATTGTAGCTGCAGTTGCCTTAATTACATTGCGACTCATTTGAGGCATCTTTCCCAATTACATGCCTTAATTGGCGTGGTGGCGGATTTTAGCAGTACTCATCAATGTTCTTGGCTTATCGTTCATATATTGTGATTCAGTTACTATATGCACAAAAAAATACACAGACATCACGACCTATCAATTTTTTATTAAGTAAATTTAATTTTATTAAGTAAATTTAATCGATTGTCAACGGTTCTCATAAATATTATCTAATGCTATATCAGTTTGCAGTAAGATTAAGTAATATTACTGAAATATGTATGTGTATATATATGTATATCTATATGTATATATGATATATATCATTTGTATTATGGAAAAATATTTTATTATGCTTTTAATTATTGAACTTTCTTTTATATAGGCTGCAGGCTGTAATAAAATATTTTTCCATAATACAAATGAGTTATGAATAACAATCTTGTGTCCTGGAATGTTAATTTTCTATAGCCCAAATTCTTTGAATTCTTTTAACTTTTATTTAGTTCATAAGAACAAACGGAAAGAAAAACTGTTTTAACTTTAATCTAATGTTGTTGGCTTTCAATAAACCTATTTCCTGTACCGCCCCATTCAATTTTTATTGGTTCTTTGTTTTTGTTGTTGTTGCGTGTTGCTAAACTTATCTTGTTCTACTTCTTCGTCATGTATTGCCCGCCTCGGTTTTTATGTTTATGCGGAAATCTGCAGAAATTGTGTCAATATCAATAAAATTAGATTAGTATCGACGGCAGCAAACAAGCAAAGTGTGTCAAGCTAGTCAGCCAGTCAACAAATAAACTCACTCACACACACACTCGTGCAACACGCACGCACAGCTTCATGTGAAACATTCACATCCACATTGTTACGGGAGGCAGCACTTCCGACCTGCGGCCTTCGTAAACACAATTGCCTCGGTATGTGTGTCTGTGTGTGTGTGTGTGTGTGTGACAAATGCTTAAATGCCTTGAAATTGTTGTAATTTCCCAAAAAGAAAGAAGGGAGGCGGCCAGAATACGAGCGACGAACTTTTACTCAGTTAAAACATGCGCCACACTTAATCTCAGTTAATTTTCTTAATGGAAAAGTTTTCACGGGTCTCCTCCCGTCTGCTGGTCCTTGCCACATTCAATTTTTTCTCCTCTCCTACGATTTGTGGCATTTGTCGCCCTATGCGCAGACTGAGTATACTGAGAAAATAGGCAGCGGATTGAAATTACTTTTCGGGCGCATATCTTTTTTTTTGCTTGGCATTTCGGATAATTTTCATAATGCGAAAATTAGAAAAGTTTCTGGTCAACACGTTGTTGGCTATTGGATTTAAATTTTTATGGCGCGGCAGAGGCTTCTTGGCTTTTTTGTGACTTTCGCTCAAAGCTGTTTTCCTATTGATTTCACATTCAGAACATTTACATGCTATTATCGCATCGCTTACCAACGCCAAGCGATAGCCCAAAGCGATTCCATTTCCATTGCGGATGCTGTTGTTGTTTTCCACGTTTTTCACCGCTTTTTTTACAGCTTTCCCCTGCGGTCTCATGCTCTCCCGATTCGACAACAATGACGTAATCTTTTATATAAACACAGCCAACACTTTTCAGGAGTTGCTGCTTCTACGCTCCGCCATTTCACTTAGCCAAGAAATTCAGTTCGAGTAACGGAGAAGCATCACGTGACGAGTGATGGAGTGCACTTCTGTGTCCGCTCTTTCACTTCAAAATGTGCGATTTCAATTATTAAAAGCAAAGGTACACAACGCTTAAATTGAATCAGCAACGGCTGAGTGATGTTTGCCGCCCACAGCAATCCCTGATAAAAACAAAACAACCACGCTAACCAGAAAAAGTGTTTGGCTAAAACAAAAAGTATGGAATCTAGCAACGAAGCATGCAAAAG